GAAAAAATTATCTGATAGAAAATTTCTTACCCTTTACGATGAGCTAAGAATTTGTGTTTTTCATAACTGTTATCGACAATTTTACGAAAACGTCAACATTGTTTAGGTAAGAATGGTTTGCCTCAGGAGGCTGAGCCAGCTCCTTTTTTATTCTCTTGCAGCGTGGCAGTGGAGCTTCTGCATGATCTGCGTAGAGATGCAAACAGCTTTAAAAAATGTCGTTTCAGAATTTTATTCACAAATTAATTTGAACGTTATATACATTGATTCAGCATAGAAACATACTCCAACTTCCAAGAATAGCTTAGGTATTCATTCAAGCATTATCTATAATATTGTCTATCCAAAAATATGCTGTCAAGCAAATTCGTTTTTTCAGCATATTATATAATGATAATGGGTTAACAGATTCATTACACACTGTCATCATAATTATCATATATTTACTGTAATTTTTTATGCACAATTCTCATCATATCTTTGTTCACAAACGCTCGATTTTTATCGTATTCGCTCATCCTCCATTGTTCACATGTTCTGCAGTGCCCTTAATAAACACAACATTCCCCGTTATTCCTTTACTCTCACATTCTCTGTTCCCTGACACATGGTCCGAGCTATTCCCTTACTCACATATTCTCTGTTATGCCTTCATTCAAATATTCTCTCTTATTCCTTTACCCACATATTCTCTGTTATGCCTTTAATCAAATATTCTCTGTTATTCCGTTACCCGGATATTCTCTGTTATACCTTTGATCACATATTCTTTTGGTCTTTTCATAAATATTTTGCACTTATTCCTGTCAATTTCATTACTATACTAAATCTGGCTGCCTATATACTTTAACATAGCAGGTCATATTTATTTAAATTTAAATGAATGACATTAATTTGGCAGTCCCATTCATTCATTCATAAGAATATGATGGATGCTCCATAATCGAAGAAAAATGGCACCAACGGTTGCGCGCACGCACATGAGGGCCTTGGAGAAAGTTTTTATATGTTGAGAACATGTAACATCATTTGAGAACGTATTAAAATAAAAGGCGATTAAAAATTTTCAGTTATAGTCCACCCTCAACCAGCCTTGTATAGCTGACTGGAAGGCAGGTAGCGATGTTGCTGCCACGATGTCGGCACTCAGGGAGTTCCATATTCTGATGGCCGAGGTGGACGTCAGTTCTGCTGCGTGGGACCTGCAACTTCTCTTGGTGCCCTTGTTGCGTGTGTGACTGATTGGCACAATCCTGAAGGAGGTTGGAAAGCGACTAGGCAATGCAGCATTTTGTACAGCGTGCGTGCTTTGTCTGCCGTTCTCCTTAGATCAAGCTTTTCCAGCTCAAGTCTGGCTACTATCTCAGTGACACTGGATGTGGGGCTAAAGTCTCCCAGGGTTCTGCGGGCAGCTCTGCATTGTACCATCTCAGGGGAAGTTTTCCTTTAGTTAATTGCCAAATGGGAAAATTAGGGTTGTTGTTCTAGTATTCATTGTAATGGAGATGGAATGGAATGATATATTTATATTAAATTAGTTGAAATTGTGTTCATCTTTTTGCGCCTGCAATAATATTGCAATGTCAGGGTCAGAGCAGACGCACCCTCACGTTTGGTCAGTGGTATTGGTGTGCAGCTTGGACACTATTTGAAATTAATTTTTGAAGGCTTTTTAGAGCAGGCCTACCATGCAAAATAAAAGCAGTCTTGATAAAATTTAAAACAAATCTTTTCATCAACAATACGCATATGCGAGTGTTGTTAGAATTTTTTTGTCCACTTCGATTTTAACTAGCGCACTATGTGCTAATTTCTAGCAGGTTTTTCATGCATAACTTTGGCAAATCTAAACCAAACCTGAGCGCATTTAGGGAGAAGTTGCTCAGTAACATTACGCTCCTGTGAGCAATGTCAGAATTTTTTTCGTTGCTTAATTCCTATGCATCGCACTTAAGGCCAAGTTCACGCACACCTAACATAGCGTTCTAAACCAGGGTTTAGACTGGAAAACTAGCTGAGAAAAACCATTAAAGAAATTCTTTCTAAAAATTCGACCCTAATGTGTTCATGAAGTGTTTGGTTTTGGAATATAATCTCACATATGCACTGAAAGGATTTCATAATATATGGTCTAGATCAAGTTTGCCAAGTATAGATTAAATGATGTTTGATCGATGGAAGTTGCACATACGTATCACGGTCTCAGACAAATTTACAGCCGGACTTGCAGCCTGTGTCTATATTCAGTAAGCATGGAATATCTGATGAAACTTCATACACATATTCATTAGGACCTAATGGTGATGTTTAGCTCCTGCAATGACAATTTTCCAGATTTTGCCTTTGTTTGCGAGTTTTTCCAGTCTCATTCCTGATTTAAACAGCAATACATTCTTAAATTTGCAGTGAGCACAAAATTTCTTCTAAAATACCAAACAGATTTGAACACAACTTTGATCGTATATGAATACCTAAACTCCTAACAATGATGTTTAGCTTGTGATGGTTTTTTATTCTGCCTTTGTTTGCGAGTTATACGGCTTTACGTATACGGCTTATGGCCAATGCAAGGTTGAAAATCGCCCTGAGAAATGCTGGTGATTTCTCGATATATCTGTATAACTTGCAAATGAAGGTGAAATCGAAAAAATTTCTACACGCTAAACATCACCGTTGGGAGGTCAAGTTTCTATAATCAAATCTGTACAGTAGTTTAGAGGAAATGTCATGCTCACTGCAAATTTTGGCACGTGTTGTCATATAACTTACGGATGAAGGTAAAATTCAAAATATTTTCACAAGCTAAACATGACCATTAGGTCCTAATGAATACGCGTACCAATTTCATCAAGCTACATTCATGGCTTTGGGAGATAATCCATGCTCACTGAATTTTGACACCGGCCGCAAGTCTGGCCGTAAATTTGTCAGAGACGGACGTGTTGCACAGAGCTCGTTGACGTTTAAATGCAGCTGACAGCCATATAGAAGTCATACATATTTTACAGTGCGAGTTGACAACATTATTTCTTATAAAATAAAATCTATTTTTACTTTTCTTTAAAACATAATATTGAGTTGGAAATGCTGGTTAAATGAGATTCACTTCTGAAATGACTTGACCAAAAATTTAATCACAATCGCAAAAGAATTGAATTAGTGAGACAAATAGGGAAAAATTTCATGATTAGAAGCCTATCTTTTTGTTATAAATTACTAATAAATGAGCAATGTTGTCTTTCAAAAATATTTATTTTCCTTTTTTTTTATTTAAGCAGCTGAATCAAAGTCCGCAAATTAGTGTTGATGTTCCTTTTTGCATTTATTGTTTAGAAGTGACGCGGACAGGAGTGGCTGCAGTGCGAGCTAAGTGATTGCAGTGAACCATTGTGTTTACATTATGCTTTTTGGTATGTGACAATAGATTTTTAAAGTAAAAGGGTAAAGATTGAAAAAATGAAGTTATGAACTGTTATTTGTGAGCAACAAACTATCATATTAGGCCCCAGGAAATTGAAAGAAAAATATGAACGTAGGTACAATTTATTTTGTGAGCGGGTCTAAACAAACACTAGGGAAAAAATTAGATTGTCACCCTGCTGCTGGTATCCATGATACTTTTCTGGTCTACTTATAGGACTTGAAAAAGTTGAAATTGAACTTGAAGGAGAGTCTAAAAAACTGTCTGCTTTGCCACTATGTATTATATACTGCCGCATATGGTGATGTTTTTATAGCCATTCATTACTTGCTGCATCCTCGAAGTGTCGGAATATGGTGTGTTTACCAGTACCACTTCACCCTATCTTAACTAAAAGTGGCGGAGGTGAATCAAAAATAACCATCACTTTTAGAATTCCATCCTGGCCCTGGGAACCAATTCCTGATTGGCACAAAAAGTAATAGCTATCTTCAATAAAGCATTGTTTAGGGTAAACGCGGTATATTCCGACACTTTAAGGACGCATCGAGAAATGAAAAACTATAAAAAAAACCGTATGCGTTACGTAAGTTCTGTTGCCTTCACATGACTCTCAAAACACTTCACTACGTGTCAGCAACGATGAAACGTCACAAAATGTTGCCATATTTATTAAAAAGCCTTTAGAATGGAAACCTACCAAATCCCTATATTCCGTCTGATAGGATATGTATAATGTATATAATAAAATGGACTGGAAGTGGAAAGTTCCTGGACTTTCCAACCTTTCAGGTCCTGCTTTCCAATATTCTATGTGTACTGGTTAATTTAATATCCCTCTAGAATTCCACACTGATGTCAACTGTCAAATTTGACACATTTTTCGATGATCTCACCACGTGGCATGCATTGTCTCTCTTTGGATCTCAATATTTTCCCGCTAGCATAGTGGCAAACCAGAGCTTTTTTAGAATCAGTTCAGCTTCAATTTCCTCATTTACTCAAGATTTATATCAATTTTTTAAGTATGATGATGCTGGTATCCAGGATACTTTACTGGTCTACTTATAGGACTCAGAAATGAACTTGAGGGAGAGTCTAAAAACCTCTCTGCTTTGCCACTATGCCCGCTAGATGGCCAAGACCTAGGGTTTTTGCAGTATTTCAACACGCAAATGTATGACGTCACCATTTCAACCATCAATGAACGCATGGAACTAAAACAAAGCTTAATATAAAGGAAAAACTAGAGAAGTGACGGAATTACCTATGATGTCGGAATATACCGCGTTTACCCTAGCAACTTTTCCCAACATGCTTGACTCCAAAATACCTATTTAGAACAGAACTCAGAACATAAGTCATCATTTCATACAAACAAAGCCGTTGATTCAACAACATTCTATTTGCAGTTCAAGATCATTGACTTAGCCTATCAGACATATAATTTCTGCTCGTGAGTAAAAAGATCGTTTTTCAGCAAAGCAAATTTGGAACATAATGATTAATCAAAGTAGAACTGTAGAAGTCTACGTTTGGTTATCGTCGACTCTAGGTATTCCTATCTCATCTGACTCACCTTTTCACACAAGGTTTTCACTTGATTTTCCCCTAACTGTTTACATTCCATTAACTGTTCAATCCATTGATCAAGTTCTTTTATTTGTGTTTTTTCTTCCATTATTAAACGTAATCCCTAATTAACCAAACAACACAAGCAAATACTGAAGAGCGAAAGTCTTCGCCTGACACTCACTCGGAATCTCCCAATAAAAACATGGCCGCTCTCACCAATGACGTCAGAGTCAGAGTTACCAACTTTAAAGGGAAAAATACAAAATATTTATAATTAGGATCATTTTTTAGTGCCACTGCTAATTTTTCAGAGTACATTAATGTTGAAAAAGTTTAAACTCACAGCATCATCTGAGATTTTAAAATTGTCCGAGAGGTAAAATAGTAAAACGAGCATATGTGCGAATGAAAATTCATCCCAAAAGGGTCCTGGCGGTTCAAAAGTGTCAGAGCGCTGTTCAAACACCGTAATTCAAATAATTGCGTTCCAATCCACTTTATATAATCCCATTGAGATCTGTTAGAATAACTTATCCATGTTTTGTTTTATAATATCTTCTGGTCAGTTAAACACTTCTCATTCCCTCAATCTAAAACCAATCTCGCAATTATTTTCGGCATATCTATTTCATTTGTACCTTCGGAATTATTTTCGCGCAACGCATCGATGATTATTCACAAAAACTTTTACAGGAATGATTTCTAATTAAAACGACACAGAACGTAGATGACTCGATCGACAATTCTACGGACTCGCCAGCGGACTCGCCTGCGGACTCAAACGCAAAACCTAACTACAGGCTCAAATGAAACACTCATAACTCCTACAATACTGAACAGATTTGCTTGAATTTTGGAATATAAGTAGTTATTATCGATACGCTGCGGTAGGAATTATTATAGATTTTTGGATAAATTAGTTTTCAATTAAAACTAATAAACGTATTTTTTGATCGACCGAAACACTCATAACTCCTACAATACTGAACGGATTTGCTTGAATTTTGGAATACAAGTACTTATAATTAATACGCTGCGGTAGGAATTATTACAGATTTTTGCATGAATTATTTCCTAACCTAACCTAACCTAATCTAACCTAACCCAATAATAAGTCACGTAAAAATCTGTAATAATTCCAACCGCAGCGTATCAATTATAAGTACTTGTATTCCAAAATTCAAGCAAATCCGTTCAGTATTGTAGGAGTTATGAGTGTTTCGGTCGATCAAAAAATACGTTTATTAGTTTTAATTGAAAACTAATTTATCCAAAAATCTGTAATAATTCCTGCCGCAGCGTATCAATAATAACTACTTATATTCCAAAATTCAGGCCAATCCGTTCAGTATTGTAGGAGTTATGAGTGTTTCGGTCGGTCAAAAAATACGTTTATTACATTTAATTGAAAACTAATTTATCTAAAAATCTGTAATTATTCCTACCGCAGCGTATCGATAATAACTACTTATATTCCAAAATTCAAGCAAATCTGTTCAGTATTATAGGAGTTATGAGTGTTTCGGTTGAGCGAGGGTATTGACAGAGAAAAGCTCATAAGTCATTCGTTGTCTGTAGGAGGGCTAGGTAGTGCGCTCTGGTGTCCTTGCATAGGCTACCACCCCACCACCTCTTCTTATATTCACCAGCTCGAATCACCGACATCGCTTCAGCCATAGTTGAACTAGTTCAACCATGGATGGCTTCACCTCTCCACTCCCAGCAACTACGTTCGTCTATCGATCCAAGAAACAACCGTCGTTATCAGAGGTTGATTGATGAATTAGCAGTTAAATATACATAATGCAACGCAATTGACCTTATGGCCAATAAAAATATTTTTATCCTATTGTAAGTTCAGCATCTACGTAATAAAGGTAACCTCTGTGGAGGCCCGACATGAATGGTAGCCTTCTCCATTTTTTTAAGGAAAAATATGTTTGTACTACAAACAAACTGATGTATGAGCCGAGGTCCTGCAGGGATCAAGTTCCTATCCTAAGTCAGGCTTCCTTCCACTGTACTATGATGGGCCCGTAGCATGCTGTTCACGCACTAAATTTTTGTCCAAGCTTACATGAATTTTGCGCATGGTATATTGTGATTGGCTTGAAATATCATAATAATAATAGTAATAATAATAATAATAATAATAATAATAATAATAATAATAATAATAATAATAATAATAATGATAATAATAATATTATTATTTCAATATTATTATCATTATTATTAAATGTAATAGCGGTTAAAGCGTTTAATAGGCCGTAGGCCTGCGCCGATTCTTAACATCGTAGAAAATTCACAGCTTGTTGAGGTCTCGAACGCGCAAATCAGTGCTCCAAATTCTGCTGTGCTTAACCGCCCGGCCTCCTGGCCGAGTTTGACCAGAAACTGGCGCACAAAGCTGGGATCGAACCCGCGCCTCTCTGCGCCAGTCTTGGTACTAAGAACTTTAACCACTGGGCCACCCTGCCATGATATATCTTGTACATTATTAATAATAATAATAATAATAGCGGTTTCGGCGTTTATTAGGCCGTGGGCCTGTCGCCGATTCTTAACATCGCAGAACATTCGCAGCATTTTGCGGTCTCGAACTCGCAACTCGCTGCTACAATAATTCTGCTATGCTTTTAACCGCCCGGCCTCCTTGCCGATTCTGACCAGAAACTGGCGCACAGAGCTGGGATCGAACCCGCGCCTCTCTGCGCCAATATCTTGGTACTCTGAACTTTTAACCACTGGGCCACCCTGCCCAAAAAATTGTCATGATGCCGCAGAGCGACTGTGCCATGACGGTATATGTGTTGTCCATCCTTGTCAAGGGGAGTGCTAACCTTCTCTCCTTTCTTACAAGTTTGATCTCCTTATTGCCAAGTTTGATTAAAAATAAGCGCGGGAAGCTCTCGGGGTTCAAGAGTCCAACTGCAGGCTGCCGGCGGCCGTCTGTGTGGGCGCAAAGAACGCTGATGTAAACAGACAAGCGAAAGTGTATTTGAGTATAAATGACTTGACCATTGACCTAACGCATTAGAGCTATCTCTTAGCATTACCATAAAAGAAACGTAATCATTTATGCCAAAAATGCCCGCTCATCGCGGCGTAGCGGGAATATAAGTTGAATTAGAATCTACTATAAGTATTTTCATGATGGAACAAACTTCCGATGCTAGATGCAGTAGATGGTATGAGCCGGATCAACCAATAACTTAGTAGGTCAGCCAGTTAACATAAAGGAAACATTGTATTCCGGAAGAAGTCACGAGCATGGCACCTCCGTCACTCTCTACTGTTTATAAGCTCGCAATATTTCCACGATTGCTACAGTCTCTCCCGAGTTATTTGATTGCAAGGTTTACGTTACGGTTATGCTCACTTGCTTACTGTAGGAAAAGCTTTCTGTATCGGCACATTATGTGGCAATTTAGGCGGCTATTGAGCGGTATTTGAGCCCTAGTGCCCTACAAATCGTAATTCTGACCATTACTATAACTATATGGTTTTTATTGACAAGCAGTGAGAGTGAGGTATGTAGAGCAACTTCTGAGTGCTGAGTGGCGACATATGTGTCGTGACGTAATAGTTATAATTTAGCATTGAAATGGACTGAAATAAGTGCGGCACTGTGCAGAACTGTTCCCAAGTTTTTACTCTGCCCAAGGGTGAAGGGCCCCAGGGGCCCAGCAATAGCATAGGCCATGCCGCCATGGCTCTTAGTCTTAGCCATCTTCTTAATTTCACCAACTCTTTTTTGCAACAACCAACAAGCATAAATGGTTCATTTATTACCATAGTTATCACTTATCAGAACTTAGAAACTGCATGTAAAAATTATGTAAGTAATCAACTTTCATCGGAATATTATTATTTTTTAAAGTTTATGGCAGTTATGCTCATAAAAAAAATTTTTTTAGAGATAGTATGTATGTTGGTATTGAAATTTCCCATCCTTTGAGGCTTTGAGTGGCGACTAGCCTACTAGGGAGGAGCCTAGGAGGGAGGTCAGTTTTTCCAGGCACTTGTGACTTGGTGGGTGGCCGGTGGTGCAACTGGTAGTTCTATGACCATCACTGGCTCGCTGACCCGCCAGTCTGCCAGAACCATTTTATTGCTTTACACAACACCCTGGACAAGCCAGGTACAGGTACTCATTTATCAACCAGTTGTATGAATGGCTGAGTTGACCATGAGCTGAGCAGGTGCAGGCCCCTGAGCTTCCCGGAAGAACTTGTCTTCAAAGGGACTTACTTCAAGTCCCAGTCTGGGACTTGAACCCGGTCCCCAGGAAGCTGCCAAACTGGGTGCAAGAGATAGTCTTTCACCTCTGCACCACCACAGCTGACAGCTCTAGAGATGTGTAGTGTATAACTAGGCCAGGTCTCATAGTGTGGCACAAGAGTCGTTGTAAAATTTATCTCCAGGTCATCTGGTCGTTGAACAACCGCATGCCAGTCGATAGTCGATAGGATTTATGCAGTCGATAGTCGATAGGTTTCTTCAGTAGTTCGATAACTTAACAATGAAAACACTAGTCGTTAATAACGAGATAACCTCAAGTCTATGTACATTATATTCTTTATATACAACAAACACCTAACAGATAACGCATTAATGGTTTAATTTTTCAGAGCAGCGGTGCCTTCTTAGGTTTCTTTACTAATGAATTCACTGCTTCACCAGTTCACCTCACTGTAAATATTGTGTGTAAACAAATGCAAGCTTTCCCTAAAATACGGAGGTCACACTTCACACCTTACTCTTTCTTATCCAGAACTGCTTACTCAGTTTTAAATACTCGATCACCAGAATTATCAAACCTCAACTCTATTTAATATATGGCTACTTGCATTTGTTTGACAAATGCGAGCCACTCACAAATGGGATTGGTTAATTTCATATTCTCTCAGGCATATCCAAGAATACCAGTTAGTTACAATGGGAAGAAATTAAAACTACGGACTCAACCCAGACACTCATAAGTCCTTCAATACTGAACGAATTTGCTTGAATTTTAATATGTGAGTAGATATTATTGATACGCTGCAGCAGGAATTAATACAGATTTTTACAAAAATTATTTTTTAATTAAAAACGATAAACATAATTTTTCTCAACCCAGACACTCATAATTCCTTCAATAGAGAACAGATTTGCTTGAATTTTGGATTATTAATATTTATTATCAGATGCAGTAAATGAAAAATAGAATATGCGCACTTTATTTATGGTATTTAATTTCACGATAGGGGGTTTCTTCCCAAGGCACATGGAAGAGCATTCTTTCAACTGAGTAGTAACACATCATAATTAAATCACAAACAAGAACTCACTAAAGCCTTCAGCACGTGTTTAGATTATAGAATTTCTTTCCGACGACCGCTGCGTTCTCAAGTTATATGGCTGATCATTAGACTCGTGACCTGTCATCCAAGGCGACCAAAAATTATATCCAAACTTCAGATATGATACCAATGTAAAATTGCACTCAAACCTTTTTCTCGCGTCTATGTAGTACATTTTTTGTGCCTAATAATCTTCGTAATGCGCTGTTGGGGTCCGGGTTTTAGTCAGTACCGCAGTCGTATCTTGTCGGGTCTCGCTAAGTCGCTTGTTGGCAGTCGTCATAAGTTTATTGTGGAAGAGTCCCATTAGTTGGCAGTCGTTGAAAAAGATAAATGACCTATTATTTTAGCTCAAAAGTCGTTGTAAAGTAAAAAAATTGGTCGATAACTTCAGCAAAAGTCGTTGAAATTCCAACGACTATTGCCACTGTATGAGACCTGGTAACTAGGATCATGATGCATTCTAGTACTCTTGTCTTCCTAATTTTTTGAAACTTTCTTTTTATTGATAGCTTTAGGAAAAGGAATTCATGTCTGAAAATACTTGCATTCTTTGCGTAGGGCTCCTATGCCTTGACATAGTGAGTGAATGTGAGCAGTTCCCAAAAGAGGATGACAAAGTTGGGACTACAACTCTGCCCAACAGGTCAGGAGATCTATACTTCTACACCACATCACTTGGTATGTCACATAATTTATTCCAGCACATATGCCAAAGCAGCCAAAAAATTGCCCTTTTCAAGCTACAAATGGTCTGATAGGGTCAATTTTTATCCAGTAATTCTAAATTTAATTTAAATATTGGGACAGTTTTGCTCTTAAGATTCCATAATTTACCAAATAATGGGAATTTTGATGAAAAATTTTCTATACTTTTAGCCTTTGAGTATAAGCAGTGGTTTCCAAACTTGACCCATCCCAAATCCCAATTGGAATGAAGAACATAGTGGTGTAAAAATTCAAGTCCATTAAGCATTCAAAATACTAGTCAAAGTTGATTTGTATTTTAAAAAGTCTCATGTTGTTAAATATTTTTATTACATTATTTATTGATGAGGTCAAGCTTTTCTGATAAGCTCATACTTGTCAAAAGAATAAATAAATTCACAAAGCTAGGAAATATTTATAAGTTAGTTCATAGTGACAAACCACATATTTTTAGAATCAGTTCATCATCTACTCAAGATTTCAACCAATTTCTTATGTATGATACTTAGTGGCGGACTGCCCGTATCCATTTACAGTTTACTGGTCTCAAAAATGAACTTGTGGATGAGTCTAAAAAAGTCTCTGCTTTGACACTTGTCTTTTATTTGACCATCTAATATCTACACATTAAACTAAACATTAAAGGCTTGAAACTTTATTCATGGGCATGAGTTTTAATAGCTATATTTTTTGTTCAACTAGCAGAGTTCAAATATCAACCTTTATTTAATATAAGAATTTTAATATAATTTAATAATTGAATATAAGATTATTTAATATAAGAATTGTTCTTCAGTAACTTGCTATATACCTTACATCAATGACATATTAGATGCTAATAATTTGCTGACCTCTGAACCCAAGAAATATTTTGAAATTGAAATAGAACTGTGGATTAACATCAATCCATTTTGTTACAGGTTTAAACAATTAATTCAACAATAACAAATACTGCACTCTTATGATATAAGGAAATAGATGTGTGGTAAAATGGCCATAATTTCACATTTAATTTCAACAACAAATGTTTATCATTATATTGTGTACCGTATACTGTGGGAACATAATAAAAGGAATTCAATGTTGCCTAAAAAGCTATTGAAAAATGAGTAGATCTATCACCTTGCTAAATGAAAGTTATTTTTGTGTTGGGTTGTTTGCAGTGCCAATTTATGTCATGATTTTGCCAGTGAGTCTTTTGGATTAAGTGTTGTGGGCTATGCTTTGTGTAGGACATTGCTGCATAGATTACATAAGTGAGGTAGCTGCATACCCAACTGAAGATGAAGATATCAGGTTGGTAAGTTTTATAATTATCTTGCAATCTTTCATAATGAGTCTAAGCTGGTAACAAACCAGTAAATTTATTAAAAGGTTTTCTATGTGTAGAACAATTCATTAGACAAATTGACTATAGTCACCAACTTGGCTTTTGGTTCTTGGTTCAACTTCTGCTTCTTATCACAGTAGTTACCTATTGAAATAATAATTGTATGGATCACTTTATTGCAAAACTTTTTTTTTCACCAGTGATGTTCAAAAAACTTGTGATGAATATTTATTTATGAATGGAAAAGTAAAACCAATTTGATTTGTAGAGTACTAAGCTGTAAACAACTTTAATTAAATAATAATGCTGTCTACTATTATACATATATTTATGAATATTTATTTAAAACCAGGTGTGCTGCTTTTGAACGTAACTAAAATGTTTGAATGTCAATGAGTTGGCTTTTTCAGATGCGTGTCACAGAAGTGGCAGCGAGGTGGCAATGCTTCCAACACCAGCACAGTCTTGGCTCTGTTGGGCGACACCCCCACATTAGCCTGCACTCTCGCTAACTCGCCTGAGAAGCAGTAAGACCAATGTGACACGTCATACTGTGGTTAGAGATATAAACAATCACCTTTTATAAGGTCATAGCCAGTTAAACTGATATAACTTGAATATATATTTTCAAATATTACTAGGCAAATTTTTTTGAGACAAGACATTCTCCCCCATTGTATCATTTGCAAGGTTCTTGGTGACAGACATGGCTAAATACGGCATCAAAGAAGATGGTGTTGTTTACCACGATGGCGTGGCATGCCCATCTTCCGTGGTAATCTGCTCACTTGCTTCTGGCTCACGCACAATAATTCACAGCAATCAGAACTTGCCTGAGCTTTCTGTAGAAGACTTCAAGTCACTCCCTCTTCACACTTTCTCCTGGGTTCATTTTGAAGTGAGCAATTGGGCTTATTATTTTTTGAAATGATTCCATTTTGGTTTTCATTTTAGCATAATCAGTTTCAAAATGTATGTAGCGAAATTAAGATTAAAAGCAATAACTATTTTTTCCTGAGAATGATGCATCAATGTAATCTTATTGTAAATGTGGTTTCTATTTTCTTTGTCAGGGTCGCAATTTGAGCAATGTTCTCATGATGCAGCAAATGCTACGTCGTGCATATCCTTCCGCCAAAATATCTTCTGAATTGGAGAAAGTACGTCCAGATATGGACTTACTCACTCTCAATTCTGACGTAATATTTGTCTCTAAAGACTACGCGCGTCATCTTGGCTACGAGGACATGAAGACTGCGGCTCAAGATATTGCTCAGAAGGCGGCAACCGGACGGTAGATTCTAATAAAATAATTTTTTCTTGGCACGTGTCTTTGATAATTAACGTGTTTTTTAATAATTAAAATTTGCATTCTAATTACAGGCCAAGTGGCCTCTATTAATACGAGCATCAGATGCATCTTCATTGAGTCACTATGATAATGATTAATGAGTGGAAAACTGTATAGGTCTTTGAAATGAGATGATAAATTCAAACACAATACACATACCAAAATTTTCCTCTTTGAAAACGAAAAACAAAGACTTTATTCCCTCGCTACAGCAACCTCGATGTGAACAGGTGCCGCACTGTGATTGTGCCGTGGGGGGAAGATGGTGCGAGTGGCTACAGCGAGGAAGAAGGACTAGTGAGCTGCGAAGCTAGCGTGCCTCAAGGCGGTGTCGTGGAGACGCTTGCAGCTGGTGACACCTTCATTGGGGCAGCCTTGCACGCTTTGTCACGTGGTAAATCCCTCAAGACGACTCTTGAGTTCAGCTGTAGGGTCGCTGGTTTAAAAGTTGGTCTCAAGGGTTATGAAGCTTTCGGAGAAGCGCTCAGAAAGTGTGCTTGGGTGAAGGAACTCTGATAGTGATGTGTAAGCCTTGGGAGGCATATTATTCTGTTAGCATCAAACACATGTTGGGTGGTTTATAATCGGTCTTGATATGAATGGTCGATGTTTTTAGTGAACAATGACCGTGTCTTAATGGATATTGTTCCGCGTCTATTGTGGTATAGTACAGGATTGAAAATTGGCTCAAGTTTCAAGCAGCTGTTCAAATTACTCCGGTTTGTGTGTTTCATTAAAATGAAATTAAAATTCCTTTATCGGAATAATCTTTATTTTTTTGCATCACTTCAGTAATGAAATAAAATGTATAGCAATAACTTTTCATTTATAACCTTTTTTTATGGCATGTTCAAGTACAAAACCTATAATGTCCTTCGATTAAAATATATTTACATCTGACAAGCTTCACAATGTAGGTACAAAATTGGGCATCATGATGGCATCTTGAAGCTACACGGTAATCCGTACACTACGATAGCTGCCGCCGTCACAAACCTGCAAAAGAAAGCGTTCATTTCACATTTAAATACTTAAAGGTATGAAGATGAAACATGCGCTTAGAATCTTTTTGAACATTGTCAGTAGCTGTCAATCGGCAATGCTGCGACACATTGCGATCCAAGCCTATGCCCTGGCGCGAGGTTGCAGCCTTAGCAACATCCTCTTGTAAAATAGGGGGAGTGCATAAATGGGAGCTAACACATGTAGAACGAAGAAGAGCGACGTTGCGACCTGAACATATCCAACACATAAAATATTGCAAGAGAAAGATATGGGAGAACCTAAAATTATGTGCAGTATATATTGTAATGTATATATTTAATGCCAGATCGCATATTCATCACGTTCTCGTCAATATATTAAGGCCGAACCCTAATTCCATCGCAAGCTTGTCATTTGAGACCAGCATGAAATGAAGTATCCGTCTGAGTTAGGTTCTGGTAATTCTACAAAGTATCAATGTAGAACATTCCTTATCCAATATACTGAAAAGATAACCGTCCAATCAGAGACATTATAAATATCAATTACACTGAAAGTATTGTATTACATTACATACGAATTTTTAAAAATAAATTTACGAATTTACTAAACATTAACGACATTTTTAGGTCTGGGTAAGCTGGTGAAATCGTATTGATGGTCACTAAGCGAGGATGCTGCAGTAAGAGTTTGGTAAACGAGAGAATTGGCTCTGCTCCATATAAGCAGCCGAACAAACAGTTCCATGCTGAGCTGACCTCCGACTTTACAATCTGGAGAATCCATTTTGTTCAACACTGCAAAAATATTGACGTGACTAGGAATAGATTCTAGTAGCGATATTCCGGCAGGCAAACGTGTGATACCACTCGTCAATTAGTTGAAGAACGTCATTCAAAGTTTTAACCATGATGAGCACGCCTGACGTGATCCCTAGGCGTCCGAAGTATGAAATCATGACAATAATTATACTATGAAGCAATCTAATTGAGACGTTTTATTTCGATCATTTGGGTAAAGAAATTGGCAGGATTTCAGGATAGCAGGAAGGTCCAGTAGGTTGATGTTTCATTGACTGAGAATTCAAACTCCGATGTATTTTACTTAAATAAAACTTCATTGAAAAAATCATTGGACACCACACCACGTCTATTGCTATGAATAAAAATGCGAAATGATTCTAATTTCGAAGGAAGCAAAAAGTTTCACCTCTAAAACCTTACGTACATTTTTCGGTTTACTCCAGAAGGGCTCTCCAACAGCTGCCTAGTTCTAAACTTAAGCTTTATTTTTATGGCAATGGGTGCAATGTAATACTGCCGAGGCCAACCAAGATAACTTAGAAACGACATATAAATGGCTATTAGATGACCGTGACGACTAGTTGACTATCACGACTAGTTGACTACCACAACTAGTTGACTATCACGACTAGATGACTACCACAACTAGTTGACTATCACAACTAGTTTACTAACACGACTAGTTGACTACCACAACTATTTGACTATCACGACTAGATGACTACCACAACTAGTTGACTAACACGACTAGTTGACTACCATAACTAGTTGACTATCACAACTAGTTGACTACCACTAGTTTACTGTCACAAATCTAGTCAAGACTCACCTGTTACACATAGGCCTTGAAGCAGCAATTATAGACGGCAGATCAAGCGGTTCCTCACAATTACCAATGCGAACAGCGCGCATGCGATCCAACATGGCGCCCGTCAGCAGGTCTGTATCTTTATCAGTCACTTCCCACAGCATCCCCACCACGCAGGGGCTGTTATGCAGGAACACAGATCAGTTAACATAATATTTGATACGGAAAATTATGAAGAAACATGCATTGCATACGCATATGAGCACACGTTTATCAACATTTATTCGGTGAGGAAACATTGAAAAGTAGAAAAGCCTATCCCAATGTTAGCGCGGCATTAGTCTTAAACTGGAGATTTAAAAAAAGAAAAGGTCTTCCTGGAGCTTAAGAACTAAATAAAGTTCGTAACTAAAGTAGTACCGCGTCTTCTATTAGGTTCAGACGTCACAAGGCGAGGTCTTTGTTGGTCACACATGTGTAGCTGGTCCATTTAAAGACAGATTCTTGGATTCAAAAGTTTCTTGTACGTAGCGTAGAAATTCATCGCGAAATTCTCTTGAACAGTATAGCGTTGGCAACCCGTTCTTGTTCGAAGTAGGATTTTTCGATGGAACAAAGGCTATGGTACTAAAGAAGGCATCGTCTTCCGAATTTAATAGACGTAGCTAAAGGATCATGCAGCTCTTAATGTTTTGAAATCTGTCGAGGAGAAGATGTTGCATGGAAGTAAGTTAGGTTGGTCCTGTGGGTCCAGAGATGTGCTTCAGCAGGTGAAGTTCCCATGCAAGCCGGCAATACTCAGTCATACTTCGGAACGTAGCAACTGCGAATGAGGAACATTTTCTCAACGTGCATTAACAGTTGAGGAATTTGTATTTAATGAATAAGGAATGTATGTTAGTGGAAAGTAACGAAAAGCATACAGAAAGAAAGAAAGGAACGAGCATACTACCATGCGGTACTTTCGGATCTGTATAGGCAGATGAGAATGGAGCTCTTATTTATAAACTAAATGATCACTGCACAGAAATTTATGCGCGTGTCGGGCTAAATTGTCAGTGATTCAGGTCCAACATACGAACTGTAGAGTACCATGTCAAAAAGAAAAGGGATACTTTTTTCATGACGTAATGCATGCCGTCACTTGATATCATACAGTCACACGTCTAACTGATCGTTAACCATTTTGCCCAGAAAATTTGTACTAATATATTTCACATTGTCTGAGACAAAGGTCTTTAGATGCACAAGGTCGGTTTTCTGGGTTGGAAAAAAGTCAGAGCAGAAGCTGTCCGCCACTTGAATGGTATGTAATAGACATACATATTTGGATATACAGAGAAAGAAGGGCTGCATTGTACTGTTTAAATTTCTAGCAAATATCCGTAGATCCCAGTGCGCTACTATAATTACATTGGTGCAGTGCGCTGAATATTTTAAGGTGTCAGCGTTGCAGATCAGACCATGAGGCCTGTCACCGATTCTGAGGATTGCAGGATTTTCACAGATTGGTGCGGGTCTTAAACACACAACTCACGGCTACAGTATTCACTTTGCTCAAAAGCTAGGCTTTATCGCCTAGTTCGACTGAGGCCATACTTTCAAATTTCGCCAAGTGAACGTAAGTACTTACGCTCTATTTTCTTGTCTATGATTGGTGGATTTTGCTTGAAAGGCCGTCAATGATTGACTGATGAACTTACGATCTCCTAATTTTTTTTTAAAGTATAGGCCCTGAACTTTTCGGAGTTGGCTGCTGGTCTCGAACCTACACTGCTCTGAACTTCAACCACTCGGCAATTGAGCAGGGCAAGATACGGGAGACAGCTCTACTAAAGTCAAGATAACGCTCATCACGTAGGCATTTGGAAGCAGGAAAGGAGATGTACTAGCGGACGCTGTTGATGTCTGCCATGAGTCGCGCCAGCTCTACCGTTATTTATAGGCCGCTTTTATTGAGCCAGTCACATCTAAGGCCTTATCGTCTGGCCTCTTTAATACCAGCTCAATTTTTTTAAAACCTGAATATTTCGTTTTGTGTAATTAATATAGCGGAGTGCTAGAAGGAGTGGGATCTTCGCTGCTACTAGAGTTTTGATATCACCGGATCACTTGAACACTCTTTGGTTAGAGCTGGTTTTTGCAATTGAATAGCTTTAAAATAAGAGCGTTTCTTTTTCTGTGTTCTAACAGCCCTCCAATTACTCAGTCTCTCGGCAACCCTGGTTATTCCTTACCATTGAAACAGGCAGACAGGGTCTCGGTTATCGTCAGAGACTATTATCCAAAAGAAAAGTTTCTTGAATGTCAACTTTACTCTAGAATCTTCTCCCGAGCCAGGATGCGAAGGTGCACAGCCCAGGCATGACACGAGGATTGAACGAAAATATGATTCATAAGAAACGAGGATAAACGAAAATCTGGTTTATGAATGGCGAGTAAAATAAGATGCAAGAAGCACACCTGGCAGCAAGGAGGTAGTTGAGGAGGACGCCCCAGGGATCAGGTATGAAGCCTCTGGGTTGGAGCCTGACGCTGCTGCAGCCGTATAGCATTACGCACGCATGACACTGCACTTCCTCCACCAGATCCCCAGGCAGGTACTGGCTGCCCGACCCGTGACCAACATACCTGCCAACAAAAAAACATTAAAAGTGGTTCAAATGCAACCAAATAAGTGAATGAAATTTGTATCTTCCTGCGAATATGTTATTGCTATTTAAAATCTGTTTGAGAGGCGAGCTCAAGTAGAGCATAATCTTCTCAAACGATTAAGCTATTTTCATAGTCAATTGAATATTATTGTTAGATTTTTGCTCTGAAAGTAAATGTATACAATAGAACATTAAGCAAGTTTCATCGAGTAATTAATACATCGGATGCAATGTTAATGTCCGTGCAGGCAACGAGACAAGACGATAAGGTTGCAGCATGAAGGAACCTCATTCTTCGGAGGTTTTAGTTACATTGGAAAGTATGGACTCGTGTAGCTTGGCAGCAGCTTTGTGCGTGTTAAACGGCACGCAAAAACTTAACAACACAAAACTTTTAAATAAAAAAAAAAACACCAGAGGAACTCATTCAGTCAATAATTAGAAATTTAATCAATCCATGACCAGGAAATAACATAGCGAGATGATAATCTTGACGAAATGGAAAACAAGATTTATCGTAGTTTCGAGTTTATTCGAAGCCACGGATCTTGGTCAGTCTGAGCAGATACGTGTCAAGATATATTTCTTTCAATGGCTTGCCATGAGAATTAAAAAAAAAAAAGACTATAACTGGGGTTAGGTGCCAGAGTTTTATTGCGATGATACTTTTACTGATGGAAATATGAACAATTTGAAAAAGCTCAATATAAGCCATGTAAAAAACACCATTAAAGAGAGAAGAATAAAAAAAAATAAAGATAAAAATCACTGCATGAACGAATATAGCACGACTTGTAGAGGTGGAACGTAATACATTTCCTTGTAGCAAACACACTTAAAGAGAGAAGAGCCAAAAGAGACAAAAATCATTGCATGAATGAATTGAGCACGACTCAATACATTTTCTTGTAGAGGTGTAACTCAATACATTTCCTTGTAGCAAACACCCTTAAAGAGAGAAGAGCCAAAAGAGACAAAAATCGTTGCATGAACGAATATAGCACAACTCAATACATTTCCTTGTAGCAAACACACTTAAAGAGAGAGGAGCCAAAAGAGACAAAAATCATTGCATGAACGAATATAGCACAACTCAATACATTTCCTTATAGCAAACACACTTAAAGAGAGNCCACCCTGCCCACCACATGACTTTACTGCAGCACTGCACCCACCACCACCCTGCCCACCACATGACTTTACTGCAGCACTGCACCCACCACCACTCTGCCCACTAAGTGACTTTAGTGGGCCTCTTGTGCATCATGGCGACCAGTGGCCCCTCTACATCATGAGAACCAGTTGTTTTTACCGTCATCAAGACCAGTTGCCTCTTTGGCATCAAGATGAGTAGACTCCATCATCAAGGCCGATAAACTTTGTAATATCTCGTTTGTAAGCGCACTCTCTCTTCAACACTTGTTGCGCTCATCAGAAGAAATTACAGAAATAACGCAGACGGCGATTAAGGAATTAGTTGCAAAAGAAAAAATCATTCTGGACAAACATGTCTGTCTTAGAACTCCAATCGCAAAAATCAGCCACCAACATAAAACAAAACGTTCCATTTTCTAGTTAAATAAATTATTGCTTGTTGCAAATTATACCAAAAACAAATATTTATTCACGAAGTACTAATTTGATTAGAGCTTTTTCAATGGGAATTAAATCCATCTCTTGTACTTTAAATACTGAATACAATAAATACAATGAAAACAGAAGCATGTGTCACAGAGCAGCCAATACCTGAGCTGTGCTGGGAAGGCCACCTGGACATCCAGCGCTTTCTTGGTCTTGTCGTCATGAGGACTGAGCTCTACTGCAGGGCAGCTCACTGCAAGCTGATTGGAAATAATAAAAACATTAAAACAACACCAAATTGTTGATAATTGTAAGGTTTGTTTAGAAGTGAGATCAATTTCACTGTAACAATAAAAATTACCCATTGTCGAAGACATTTAACATGGGGATTTGCTTTATCAAATTCGTGAGAACAGCCTAGGGCTTCACATTAATGCTAACCTTTTGCAGCCTGATCAATTCAGAGTTCATGTTTGCATGGCATTTTGATGACTATCAAATTCTGCTACTGGCTCGTGAAAAAAAATGCTTAAAAGTCAAAAACATAATGATCAGAAATAAATATTCTATTTAGAAAAATTGTTTTGATCAACACTAAATGAATCAAAGTAAATGATATTCACTTAAAACGTTAATTCATAGAAATGTGCATAATATCACATTTTCTTACCATCCCAAGATTAATTCTTTTCAAGTGAGAGCTAGTAGCACTGATATCATATTAGGATAGATTCTCTGCATTCTACCTCGCATTGGGCACCATTGGCACTGAGTTATTCAGTAGGTACATTATACTAGAGTATAATTTCCTATAAACCATCATACATATTACTAATCAATAAGGTGTTACATGTATATGAACACCTCAGTTTTCAATTAAGCCTAATATTTTGAGAGCACAACCATGAGCAAGTATTGCTGGGTGCTTGAAAGCGACACATTCGCCACGGTCGCGGCGGCGCTGACGGCGTCCATCACGTCGCTCTGCAGTTGGGGCGGCAGCGCGCCTGACAGCAGGAACCTCCACACGCCCAGCCACGAGCACTCCAGCCCACGCACCACACCCTGCACGTAGGCATTCATCACTTGCATTTTGTCTTTGGCCAAAGTCCAAGTGTCTACAACTGTTTTCATCAGAATAAATAAGCCCCGAGACTACATATTTACAGCTGTTTCATCTAGGCATGTTAATGCGACGCAGTAATTATTTTGGTCTAGAGAGTCTAGTTCCTATGTATCAATATGAATATGAAGGAGGTCAACAGAAAATCAATACTAAATCTTTCACCACATGAGAAGTGATGACTTTCATGAAGGAGTCTGTTGCCCCCTGCCAATACATCAGTATAACCTGCCTGTTGCCCCCTGCCAATACATCAGAATAACCTGCCTGTTGCTCCCTGCCAATACATCAGTATAACCTGCCTGTTGCTTAACTGGCACACGAACCACCTCCGCCTGCCCATGCTCTAAAGTCTAATTTCTAGTTCATTTTTAGCATAGCCACTCACAATCCACACACCACTTTTATAGTCATTATCCATAGTTTGTTTTTGTTTACTTCAGTCACTTGTTTTGATTAATTTAATTTTGTAAAGATCCCTTAATTAATTTTATAGAGAAATTGTTTCATTATCCTTTCACTTGGATAGTTACCTCTAAGTTCATAAGCAGACAACGAGTTTGTCTCACCCGCTAGAGACACACGGTAACAGTATAACCTGCCTGTTGCACTCCGCCAAGACTCACCCGCAGTTTGTTGTCAAGATGTTCCCTCATGGCAGAATACTTGGAGACATTGTCAGCATAAGCCTTGTTAATTACTCGGTTCTGCTCCTTGATGCTTTCCATTTCTTGCACCAGCAAATCATCACAATTTTCAATTGTCTGCAAAAAAGTTAACCCTATTAACAATAAAGGTCCCAAAATGAAATATGCATTTAATTGCCATCTTTAAAAATCAACATATAATTCATTATCTTTCATAAGGTACCACTGACCTTTTCATAACCTAAATTTTATTCTAGATGAAGATACAATCTACAACAATTTCTCCCTTAAACACAAATAGATGTGAAGTACAATCACATCAAAATGAAATATTTGAATACTATGACAAAAATGCAAGGCACCTGCATAACCAGTTGGCCATGGGATTTGTTTATACTGCCTGCAGGAACTCTGGCAATATGCAACACATGATGAGATGGTGGCATGTGAAGCAGCCGTGAAGCACTGCCTTCACAACCAACACCTGCTGTTATCTGCACCACTGTCCAGCCTATGATAAAAAATATAACTCAGTATTTACTGCAGTGAGTGACAGAGAGTGCATTTTCTCGTTGACAAAAACTTGAGGTCACGGACGGACAGATGGACAAACAGACATACATGGCTAGCACAATAGTGCATTTTTCCATAAATTAGAAAATGCAATAATTAGGAATAGAAAACAAAATGTTGCAAGAACCAATATCACTGTTCCTGAACTATACCTACCAAAGTTCTCTGCAGTGTCATAAAAGCAGCCCTAATTCATTCACAAGAGAGTAAATGTAAGTAAACTTTGACACTTGATTCACCACAAAATATGTGTGATGTGCAAATAAGCAGAGAAAATTACACATTTTCAAAACATTTATTTACGATTTGTACAATCAATAAATAAGTACCGTACATTGGTAATAAGCATACCAAAGCTCTTTAAGTGAAAAGAAATTATCAGTCACATCCAGGAGAGAAAGAAGAGATAATTTCCAACCATCAGGAAGTGCAGACAAAAGGGCACGAGTGTCTTCAGGAGAGCTGGCCATTTGTAGACAAGCTGTGTCTGGTTCAGGATGCATGCCTGACAAACCATCACTTGACAAGGCCTTCTTCTTCTTGTTGCTGCAACTGTACACATGAAAACTATGTTACACTAAATAATGAAATGGTAATGCCATGAATAAACAAAGGAAAATAAAGCACAGAAACAAAATCTTGATGCAAATAAAACTTTAGAATCAGAATTTGATTAGCCTAGTTCATGGTTTGCCATGCATTATAAGGTAATCATCTTCAACCTTTATACAAACCTTTGTCTGAGCAGTTTCTGCTTGTGTCGCTGCAAGTAGAGCGTTGCATGTGTCATGGAGAACTGGTGAAAAGCTTCCCAGAGCAAATTCAATTGGTCCTCCACATCAATGCTTGAACGATTCTCATTAAGTTTCTCCAGATGAGCCTCTCCAGCTAATATGTAGATATCTGAACAAATTTCAATCATGCAATCAAGCAAATTAGAATATCAAAATATTTTTGATGCCATGCTATATTGCAAATTGTTTAATTATATTTAGATAAAATTAATGTTGAAAATAACAAAATCAGTACCGGTATCCAATTTTTATAATAATTTTCTAATGTTATACTACTCAATTTACAAAAAAATGAAGAAATCAAGAGCAATTAAAGCCAAAATAAGATTCCATTGACATATCTCTCACCTGCAGTCTGAGCAGATGGAAGTATTTGAGCACAATCCTCTAAGCTGCTGCTCCCAATTTTTCCTAGGAGGGCATCCATGTTGCGCATCAAATCCGCAGTATTGCTCATTTTTTCCCAAATACAGAGTTGCAAAGATCAATCAAGCTTGAATCAGCAAGTGCTCACAATAAATTTATATAACCCTATCACTGACATGTATAGAATTTACTCCATTGTTCCATTCACTAAATAGAATTTATTCTATTTACTCCATTCAATCTATTCACAATCAGAAATCTGTAATAAAGAGATAAATAAAGTCACATGGAGCATGTGAAATTTTATGAAGTACCATCATACTAAAAAAATTAATAACATTAAGCAGTTCTTTTATTCAAGTACCGTACCCGTATATATATTTTAACAAAGAATGCAGAAATTTTGGTAGACAGTTCTTCTAACAAATGTTAGTATTTTTACAATTATATCTTCAGTAAAATGCCAGAAAAAGTCACTAATGTTTCTTACACCATGAGCAATAATGACTTGCCAAATCAGCACATCATAGCTGGAAAGAAAATACACTCTAAAACCATATCAGATGAAAACTTTTGGACATACTTTTACATGTGAGGGCAGGAACACCGAGTTAAATGAATGTACTTAGAGGTGGAATGAGACTATGAGAGGAGCTGGGAGGGAGAACTTTCCTACTTAATATCCCATGGATGTATATATATAAATGCCAGCTGAACATCAACTCATAGGGAAGGTCAACAAAAAGTCACTCATTTACAACAATGGTCACTTGCCACTGCATGTAAGTAATGTTGCAAATCTTGAAAAAATGCTTTTTAGTTAATATGAGGCAATTAAACCCTACAAAGAATAATTCTGTCTGTATTCTACTGTTTTTATTGACAAGTGGCAAGTTACATACAGCAGCTGTTGAGTAGCAACTTATGAGATATAGTGAGTAAGAGTCTTGAGGCCCGTTTACACTAGGGGCAACAACATGGGCGGTGAGGCGCTTGCTGCAGCGCCTCACTGCCCACAACCGTTCACACTTATTTTTGTACATGGGAGCTTGAGACCACATGCTTCGAAGATTACTTGCCAGTTTATACGTCCATGAGGATGGATGTATCTGAATTTGAGCTCTGAGCCATTGTTCTCGGGTGCACTACTGTTAAGAAAAGATGTACGCGTCACCGTATTTGGGTAAAAAAATTGTTCCAAAGAAGAGAGGGGGCTCACACAATTACATTTTCAAAGAATCATCAGTTGTGAATGCATCAGACTGTCAAAATTATACTAGACTGCCAGTGGACTTGTTTGATAGTCTGCTAAAGAAAATAATGCCACTCACCCAATAGCAGGATGATGGAATTGAGATGAAATTCATATGCAATGGAATTAGTTTGCAATGAAATTCATGTCACAATGGAATTGCAAAGGCAACGTATGAATTTTCTTGTGAATCTTGTCAATGGTGACTGGCACAAGAAAGTTTCATAAAACTTCAACTATTTTTGCCAGAGCTTGTTCTTTTGCATTTCGACTTTTATACTCCTTTGACTTGACTCTCTACAGGCTTTCATGGTCCCTACAAAGATCAATTAGCCTCTCTACTAGAGAGCAAGTTGAGTCTGAACAAGTGTGGCATTAGTTGCCATAGTGAAGGACCAGCAGACACAGACAACCTTGCTAGACCACAGACAGCCATTTACTGATTACTGACTGCGGCACCTGCCTGTGTTGCATGAGGCAGGGCAATGAAATTGCTTGCTCGTCAATTGCTTCATTGCCCACAACCACAAGAAGCTCATGTAGATGCCTCACAGACGGGCGGTGAGGTGCTTGACGCATGTGTGTTGCCCCTAGTGTGAACGAGTCTTTAGAATAAATTGATGCATGACTGGTCTAAATTTTTCTACTTATTAGTTATTGCAAAAAACCTCAAGGCTCCAAATTCTCAATACATTTGGAAACTTGCAGCCACAGCCAGCAGGCAGCAGCTTGATCGTGCACTTTAGTCATGAGTCAGATCAATCAAATGACAGATGGGAGCCTAACAAGCCTTATGAGGTAATTAATTTAGCAGGAATCTTCCTCATCTGAAATTGGAGGGAAAGCGCCAGTGGCAGCGCAATAGGGAAATCACCAAATGTATATGGTATTCCACTGCCCATACCCGATTGGATTTGGACAATGAACATTGCCATTTTTTTCAATGCCTCATCTGCTTAGAGACTAGAGTCTGAGACTGGAGCTCATTAGTAAAAAATCACAATTAAACTGTAATTAAATTTATGTAAAAAATAAAAAATATGTAACATTTAGTTTTAAATTCATTTCTATTTTATAATAATTTGAATATATAAATGCTATATATAAATTTTTTCATTTCTCTCTTCATTTTGTAATAACCCAGGCTTAATATGTAGCACAGTAGCAGATTATACATTTCACTAATCTCAATTATTATTAGAAATATTATAATTGATGAATCAAACCTATATGGCTTATGGATTGGCTGCCATGTGAAAGTGGAAATTTCCTAGAAACCTAAAAGGCTAAAAACATGACAATTCAATTGGTCATTGGCCAATGGCTATGATGCAATGAGGCTGAATTGCTGACATGAATCATGAAATAAGATGCAATAGAAGAATTATACTCCCATTATTTATTAGTATTCTGTTTTAATTGACTAGCAACAAGCCCACTCTCAAGCCCAGGGGCCAGGTCACCGGGGCGTCACCCAGGTGCAGAAAGTGGGTGAATATCTGAACTTCTGAAGATATCCAGCCATGTGTCAGTGGCATTTGGTGTTCTGCTCCTCCAGTCTTCCTCAGACTCAGCTGGGAGCTGTCTGTCCTCCATTACCATTCAATTAACTTTTATGTGAATTTACCAATTACCAGTGCAATAGTGGCGACTGCCGACTGGCGACTCGTTCAGTCGGGCTTCAGATTTCAGAAGATTATTTATTGCTTGGTTCCAAGGTTGTGGTGTCAGAAGCACCTTTCAGCATGATCTCTGTCAAAGGGGAAGAGCATTACACTAAACTTGCTACGTAATTTGCGCCTACATTACTAACAGTAACATTAGGATGATCCTCCAAGTCAGAGCTCCACAGACTGTTATGATAGTCAGACTCAGATTTTGACAGCTGTTTTTATTTTTGATTTTCGCGGTCAGCGTTTTTGTAGAAAATGGAAGCAATTAATGGGGATACATTTTTATTTTGAGAATTTCTTCACAATTGTATTATGGAATTCAGTAATCCAATATATTCAGAATACTTTTGCACATTTTTCCGATGATTTATCGTAGCGCTTTGAACTGGAATAAGAGAAATCAAGATTCAAAATAAAATCTAACAACACAACGGTTGTAGTCTACATGGTTGAAAACATTACAATTTCAACCATGGTAGTCTATGTTATATAAGTACGCTCTATCTAATATATATGAAAAATATGCATGAATGATCAAATCGCCGTATCGCCAAATCGTTTATTAATAATTGAGTTATCTGTGTTAATGATATTACAATGTTTATGTTGTAATGATATATTTCATGAAAAAGCAGATCAGATTTCAGGCATGAGTGATGAGGCGCGATCAAATGTAAAGGTACATAATATATATATGGTATTAGGTACCTACCATATAGTTATGTAGTAGTATTTAAAACCAAAAACCAAAGATTCACTTATATCAAATGATTGCCCAAAAAACATTTTCTGCGAGCAATGGTCCCTCAATGTAAAAAATAAACCATCAGAAGCCCAAAGTTGGCGTACAAGTGTGCAGCGAAGCCCTGTTCTTTCGCTTAATATGTTTGCTTCAACTCATGTTACTGATCAGCCCTCAAAATTTTAATAAAGACGTCCTGCTTGACTAAAATTTCTCTAAAGTCACACATTTCAATAAATTGACAAGAACTGATGGCTCATGACTATTTATAGCCATCAGATGTTGCGTGTCAACAAATAAAAAAAACAATAAGATCTGATATTATTGAAGGGAACGAATCTCAGAGAAATTCATGATCATTCGATTCATAAATATAAGCGGGGTGTTGCATTTTTAAACATGACTGGTTCGTACTTATTTTTTTGAAGCATATTATGTTATGTTGGTTGTTTTTATTATTGCCGATTTCAGTTTTTATTTAATGACGATTTAAGTATATTTGACAGATATGAAAATCTATAATGGAAAATATTTATTTTATCTAGACAATGCAGTGTTTCAAAATTTTTTGCGATCGTGCACAACTTGGAAGGCCCGTACAATGATACCAGGCACAAGCCGCATCCAAATAATAATATATCGGTTTCAGCGTTTATTAGGCCGTAGGCCTGTCGCCGATTCATATCATCGCAGAATATTCATAGCTTGTTGCGGTCTCGAACGCGCAACTCCCTGCTACAATTCTGCTTTGCTTAACCGCCCGGCCTCCTTGCCGATTCTGACCAGAAACTGGCGCACAGAGCTGGGATCGAACCCGCGCCTCTCTGCTCCAATCTTGCTACTCTGAACTTTAACCACTGGGCCACCCTGCCAAGGGAGCAAATAAATAAACAGTATATATTAGCCGAAAATTTGCAGCAGTTGTGGAGCATGGTTGAACCATGGTTCAACCATGGTTGTGGTATATTGTCATAATTAATGCGGTAAAATGTCTCCTCGTTAGGAAAGTGTTTTTTTTTTTCTTTAGTGATGGGCCGCTGGGTCCAGGTGGGTGGGAAATGACAGCGGTAGCAATAGTTTTTAGATGTTATGCTGTCAACATTTTTATGGGGTTAAAAGAGGACCTAAAGGTGTTTTCACTCGGAGTCAGTTGTGGCAGCCACTATATCACAGACCAGTACTAACTATCACTATTTATCGGTCAAATGGACTCGTCCATTGCATCTGGAGGCAAGTCTCTTCAGAGAGGACTACTGACGTGTATCTGTGCTCCTCAGAAATCCTATGGTATCTCACATTCCTTGGGGCGTTGTTCCTTAGCGCCGCCGCCTTCGCACCATAGAGCTCGCGGTGTCTGACTGTGGGTCACAGTTGTGGGGTTAACTTATTATGTAGGTAAATACATAGGATAACTTATATTTATTTTCTCTGTCTTCTCATGCGGGCAGCCGACGTCCCATGTAAGCAGCCGCTTGTTCGAATGTTTTAGTCACTTCGTCTCAGTGAGATACTAACGCTCCTTTTTATTACAAAACTTCTCTTTAACTTCATTTCTTGCTTGTTTGTCTGTCTGTCTGTCTGCTACAAATCTT